TTTGAAGACAACAATAAGCAATGCAACAAACATTGTTGGATTCTTATCATCTAATTGTTTGAAATTCTGTGTTCTTTCTAATTTTTATTATTTTTTAATTCTTTTTAAAATAAAAAAGAAAAAGAAAAAATTCTGTAGGAACATGGGCTTAAACTTTAAAATATTTAAAATATAGAATCTTCATACAAATAATAGCATTGCATTCTACTTACTTAAAATGTTTGTTTGCTTTTATGTTTGCATGTGAAGAATAATGTATTAACTTGTATTGTGTATTCTGAATATTTGCTTATGAAGTCAGAATTTTTGCAGGCAAAATATTTTATGTTTTCTTAATTGGAAACCATTTTATCTGACTTTTGTTGTTGGCAGTGAACACCAGATAGCAATCAGCTGCTACTGTGTTTCTCTGTTCTTGCTATACCTCTGAGTGTAGACTGTTCTCTAATTTGACATATTTACTCAGCTTTTCAGTTAACAGTGTGCTCCAGGACACAGTTTAGTACTGGTCAAATCTGTATTCCTTTCTCTTCCTTCTGATTCCTAGCATATCTAATAAGAAGAATCAATAAGTAATCAAATAGGGATCTAAATGGTAATTTAGAATTTTTTTCTTTATATTTTAGTACAGGGTCTACAGGGTCTCACTACACAGATCAGATTCACAGTGATTCTCCTGTTTTCAGCCTCCTAGTTACTGGGATCATAGGTGTGTGCCACTACACCCAGTCTCAGTTGCTGTCTCAGCCTGCCCCTGGGGCCAGGCTTGCATGGCATCCAAGGGATTGAACCCACAGCACCTGCATCTGCCTGAGCAGGTGCTTTAATCTGCTGAGCTGTCTGGCTGGACCTTAGAATTATTCTTCTTGATCTCATTGTACACTGAAAGCAATTTTATGTGGTTTGAAATTCTTGATGGTAGGAGACATTTATGTTAGATGCCATAATTTTAGATAAATGCTTTTGTGTTTGTATTACTTCGATGACATCTCTTGCTAGTGGTTCTTATGAAAAATTATTTTTCCTGGTTATGATATCTTTACATAAATGATCATCTTTGAAGAAAATGTATATTATGTCTGAATTATAGACATGATAGAAATTTAAAATAATATTTTTATGTGCTGATTGAAAAGTACTCAGATTATTCATAGTTGTTTGCTTGGCTGCCAACCACAATATAATTTGACTATTAATATGAGCCAGTTTTTCCAGTGGTACAACAATTTTAGGTTTACTAGAGGTGAAGAAATGGAATGCCACTCAGAGAAGTGCAGGAACCAAGTTTATTATGCCAATGGGCACAGAGGTTTTGCATATTCCAAAGTCTGAACTCCAAACTAGTATAGAAAGTTATTTTTATACATTTATCAAACAAAGCAGATGTAATTTCTGGGGGAGTGGAACTTCACAAATAGTGGAACAAACTGTAAACCAAAACAGGGCAGGCACAGCTTGTATCTCTGGTACAATCCTATTTACAGAAGCAGAAGAAGCACTATAGACCATGATTTATTAGATTTTGAAACATTTTGAACACAGAAGTTCTACCCCAAAGGTTTTGAATACTGTGATGTTCTTAAAAGCCGGTGCAGATTTGAGACATTTATTGGAAAATGGATGCACCTGGAAAATATAATGTTGAGTGAAATAAACCAGACACACAAGCTTAAATACAGTGTAGTATCTCTCATC